GCCTATTAGCTCCGGTTTGGCGGCTCGCGGCGCTAAAATGATATTGAATGTGCAGGTATGAAATTAAAATGGCTCGCGTACAATATACACGGCCGCCGGCGCGTCCCTGTTTTCGCCCACGATTTCGAAAATGCGCATCCGGATTTTAATATATAGACGGAAATAATGGAAAAGAGCCGAGATATTAAATATCGTCGCGCGTGCCGCGATATTTACGTTTAGTCTCGCGCAAAATATTTGCGTTGTCGTTGCATCCACGCGGGTGTATTACACGTATCATATGAACCTGAAAACGGCAACAACAACAATCTGCGCTGTCGGGAGAAGGCACGACCGTTGTGCTGCAGCCTACATCGCCGACCGACGTCAATGGTTCATCGAATGACTTTCCCTAGTGTCGGGTGACAGAGCTTTTAGAATCCATCCATGAGTAAACCAACCCGATGACTGCAAATGTATTACTACTATATCCGAGGTGCCATCCCCTTCTCCCTCCCTCATTCCGCCCTCTATGATCTCGAATCGCGTGAGGGTGTAATAGAAATCATTTACCATTTTATCATGATGTATATATATAGATTATATATTATATGTATTATATATATATATATATATGCTTCATTAAATCCACTATTCCTTGACAATATATTTGTGTAATTGGACATCACATGGAAATATATGCATATTTTACATCACGTTACGGCATGAAATGAATATTCTTTTAATTAAAAAACAAAAAAAATTGGGATTATTTCTCTAGTAATTTTTTATACATCTGTAGCGTAAATATGTGATATACAATTTGCGAACGTAAATAGACAGAGCAAAAAACCTGGAAGAGAACTCGGAAATATTTTTTCGATCTTTTTTCACGAAAATAAATGTGACATGTCTCAAATGAAACACATGTCTCTTCGCAGAGATGAGAGATCTGATCGCGCTTGATTGTATTCGGAGACAAATTAAACCGCTAATTGCGACTTCCCATGAGGATAATCTCACCTCATTAGATAATCCTGACATTGCTGCACATCGGTTCTAATCGCGCGAGGCTCAATAACGTCAAAGACCGTAATTACCCGATTCCGCAGCCGTTCGGAATGGAGCTCACATCCGTACAAGCTCGAAACGCGAGATATCGGAAGCGGTAAAGACATGATCTTTCCCTCCATAACTTCGACCCAAATTTTCTATGATTTTATCGCTCTTTCGAGCTTCGTCGATTTTTAAATTAAACAAGAAAACAATTGAATTTAGCTGCGTTCGAACGGTAGAAACTTCGTTAAAAATTATTCGCAGATACGTCTTATGTCATATAATGTTGCAATGATAATTAGAATCGTAGAGAAATTTGTTGATCTCATCCGGGACACCGCATAGATCTCAACGAGGCACATCCTCTTTTGCAATACGGAAAACAACAAGTGATTAGTTACTTTCAGGATATAATTATATGTCCGCGTATGTATGCGCAACGCCGTCTCCGTAATCTTCGCTATTTATAATCTCAATGGCATCCCCGTCCTACCTCGCTATAGTATACGGCAAATGATTTTTTGTCACTGGGTCTTCTTTTAAATGCCGTCGACGTAATTGTCGTCATTAAAGCAGCCATTCTATCTTTTCGTTTTCCACCCAGAAAAATGGTGAGTTATTCTAAAAACTGTTGTAACCAATAGCTTGCATACCAAACGTAAAAAAATCCGCTCGCACACAATTTAAGATCGCAGCACAGACTTTTGCATAACGCATAAGCGAATCAACCAATCAAAATCTTTCCTTTCCTCCTATCTGAGGGAAAAGAAGACTTTTGATTGGTTGATTCTCTTATGCACTGTGCATTTATGTGTTGTACAAAAGTCTGTGCTGCGCCCATTACACTTGAACGTACACTGAGAAAATTTCTGGTTAAAAATGAACGAAGCAGAAGATTCTTATGATATCAATCAGAATTCTAGTTATCTCAACTAGAATCATAATATATAAAAATTAAATAGGTTCCAAGAATAAGAAAGAATAAATCTCAAATAAGAGGTAATAAGCCAATGAGAACCAACACAGGATGTCTGTGTGTAAAATTTCTTTATATCATATAATTCTGTACAGACGTTTCGATTCTCGTTTTGGGTCTTCTTTGGTGTATCACTGAGATAATAATTTCATGATCTCGCATGTCAATAATTTAATAGATTTGCTGAACTTTTCGCAGACACTTGACGCTTCCATACTTTTATTTCCATTTATTTATTTAGTATCGTTGCATTTATTCTGTACGTATTGTCTATTTATGATTTATGTTAAACATACGTTCGGCTCCGTTGTTCTCTCACAAGCCTCCTCGCAATATACACATCGGTTGACTGTATCAGAATATCTTATCTTGACAACTTTCTATTGTAAGTTTTAATTTATTGACCATTGTATTATTAATTTCATTTATAGTAATTTCACTGCGACTTTTTTTATCGTTTTTTATAGCTTAATTTAACTAACAGTTTAAGTATTCTACTAAACACTAAGACGTTTTATTAATTTTAACCTTGGACTTTTTACTCTGATTATTTTTTGCGACATACACACCTTTAACAAATCTATGAAATTATCGGCATGCGAGATCATGAAATTATTATTTCAGTGATACACTGAATAAGACGAGGATCGAAACGTCTATACAGAATCTATATGATATAAAGAAATTTTACACGCGGACATCTTGTGTTGGCTCTCATTGGCTTATTACGTCACTTATTATATAGTAAGTAATAGATTCGGCCAGAAAATTCTGATTTGTTCATTTTCAACCAGAATTCCAATCAATGCAATCAGACTCGTTTTCCAATGTAGGTAACGTTTTCTCGTTAACCCTTTGGTCGTATATAAAAATACGCATATGCGTTTATAACCAAGGTGACATACTCTTGGCGATAAAGAAAGCTCTAAGAAACGATCAATCAAGGTGTCGGTAATCTACATGGGAATAATAAACATGGCCAATGCACCGTAATCGCGGTGCACATGCTTGCCTTGCGCATTTTTAAAAGAGGCAGCTCAACAGTGCCGCGGCGAAAAGGTTAATTCCAGTTAAAGTTCAACCATATTCCCGACGAACATGCGGTGGGCTGACGATCAGGTATCGATGCTTCGCAACGTCGTAACGACGACACGACACGTTCTTCGCTCGGCTACGCGCGATAATTAAGTGTCGCTCGACGACGCTCATCCCGCAGCCTCTAATATCGCGGCCGTCCGATAATATCTGTAATCCGCGCAAAACGATTTCGACGCGCGTGGCAATGGCATGAGCGCGTAGCGTGCCTCATAATTAGTCGGCAGACAGAGGGACGGCGGAATAGAGAGAGGACGCGATCATAATTGCCGCTCGCGCTTCCGCGGCCGGGCACAATCAATTAAATGGTGCGCGCGTTCACCATCCGAGACGGAACAAGGCCCCTTTCCTCCCCCCTTCCCCCTCGTGGTCCCTGTTATAAATCGACATTCCTTTTTTCCCCTTCGAATAATCCCTAATTGAGTGGTCTGCATGTATATCGGAAAGATAAATTTTGAAAAATCGACGTTGCGTCCATGATAAATGCAAATTGCCCATCTGCATTCCAGGATTATCAGCGCAAACATTAATTTCCTAGAATTTATATGTTCTTCTCGACTTTTTAAAAAAATGTTCAAGTACTTTAATAAAATAAACGACGCTATCGTGTAACCGTTAAATAAAGTTGCGCGACGACATGCGTTATCATTGCATCAGCATTGTATTTAAATTGTTAATATCTTGTTGCGTATCTTTATTACCTTGTCCGTGACGTAATCGAGATCGATACGTCGTACAGTTGAACGTAAATTAAATGATATTACTTTACACACCTTATCGTGCTTCCAACGGATTTTTTAACGTACGCAACAATAATTACTCTTCGATAACCGCCGCCGCGGCAACGCTTTTTAACTAACTTGCACGACGCTTCTCTCACTCGTGAAGTTTTAATGAAATGAAAGGAAAAACTTGGGATAAAGTTGAAGCGCCATGTTACGTCACATGAACTGAAACTTATAAAACTTGTGGAGTCTTCATCCACTTGTCTTGTCTGTGTAATAACTTTAGGAAATACAGCAGCGGAATATTTGCGTGATAACCGTGTAAAGAAATTGATATAAAAAATAGTAAGTGTGACATATATAATCCAAAATCGTGGCACGAGCGTGAACATAAATAAAAGCAGAAGAGATTTACAATCCCTTTTTGTGCTACCGACATAAATGAAAACAATACACAAGAAACTATCTTGATAAAGGACAATCACATTACGGAAATTTTAATTAGAGAAAAACCGTTTCCGGGGCTCTTTCAAAAATGTGACAGAGAAGAGCTAACTAAAAGAACATTACAGCTAATTTGAAAATTAATTAAATTAAGTACCGCTTTCGTAATGGGTTTGTCAAATGTAATATTCGATATTTTCAATATCAAAGGAAAATTCGATAAAATGTTAAATTATGTTGGAAAAACGCTGACAAAAGGATATTGAAATAATACGTAATTAGCTCCTAGATTATTGATTGGTCGTTTTAATGAGAAGTTAAATTTACGAAATTATATGTACACACATGCTTAAGATTGATTAAATAACTGTACGAGGAAATTACGGTAATCTCATTATCACGTTCCACATCGATTTTAACTATGAGGCACGATGCATATGTCCGACGGACATCGTTAAATCTTAAAAGATAGCTTATCATTAAATAGACAATCGAACAGTATTACCTGTTGCTGCGGAGCGGCATACTGGTGATCCGAAATAAACGCATCTGAAAATCAAAAACATTTTACAATAAGTATAAAGCGTGAACAATAATAATACTTGATATATTTTTACAATTTTTATTCTTATTTAATTAATATAATTTTATATCGCAAACATTTATTATTCAGAAAAATATCTTATAAGTCTGCAAAAGTGCTCAGATTTTGTTTTTGTTTTCAGGTATCCGTCACCGGTGCAGAATGGAGGACCAAACGGCACGACGACAATGAGTTGCGCGAGTTCTCAAGGTAAGAATAAAAAAAACCTGACGTTGGACATCGCGGTGGCATTGGCGCGAATCTCTCGCTCTCTCCGCAAAAGATTCGAAAATAAATCCGCTAATTCAATATGCCGCGCAACATTCGCGTGTTCGTTGTATTTAATTACTACCGACCGCGTACCGGCAATAAAGCCGCCACGACTCGCAATAAAAGTGGAGAGAGAGAGAGAGAGAGAGAGAGAGAGAGAGAGAGAGAAAGAGAGAGAAAGAGCCGCATGCCGGTGCTCATTAATTAGCGGGTCCCGAAAAAAATTGCCCGGCAAAATTTTCTTCCGATTAAATTAGCGTTGCATTAAATTTATTGGCTGAATTCTCTTTCATAAACTGGTGCGCGAGCCGATCGCGTGCGCGGTTCGCGGCTCTCTCGCTCCCTCGCCCGCACGCAGTCCTCATACGTGTATAATTTGCAAATATCAAACGTCGGGCGGATATTTGAAAATATTGACTCTGGTATTTTAGCCGGGTTGCGGCGCGGCCGGGCGGGCAGTCCCTCGGCGCAAAAGGGGGGAAAAAATTATCCGTCTCATGACGATTCAATATCGTGCGATTATCGCGGCAAAAGGATATCCAGAGAGAGAGAGAGAGAGAGAGAGAGAGAGAGAGAGAGAGAGAGAGAGATATCCACGCACGGATCAGATACAATATTAATTTTATATTTTTCGCTACTGTGTGACACAAGCCCGCGTGGCGAGAGCGAGAGAGAACGAGCCGCGCGCGTGCGACGAACGTGCGGTCGCGGCGACTCATACACACGCACGTGCGTGCACGTATATACACGCCGCACTGCAAAAAGCTTCGTACCCGCGTTTATTCGCGATTGCGAGCGAGCCATTAAACAGATTCGCATGGAATTTCACGACGAAAAAGGGTCGGCGAGCGCGTACGGACGCTCGGAAATTGCGCGGAACGCGCAATCAATGAAAAAGCTTCATTTCAACGCGAGCTTATTACGAAATTAATTTTCATTATAATGGGATTCTCATAAGTATCATACGCCTTTATATTTGCGATACTTTTGCATCACGGGTTCGCCATACTGTATATATACGGAAAACACGTGGCACAGAAATCTCGAGTTTTTCATGAAAACGTAGCTATCGCCGGCCATTTAAGTGCAATTTCAATGTTTACCATGATTTTTTTTTTTAGAACAACAAAGATTATTCGATGAATAATTTCACGGTGAATCGCAAGGAAAAGCCGAATCTACCAGCAGATAAAGCAAGCGGTGTTCGCGTTTAGATCGCGAAACCGTGTTGATATCGCCGACAATTGGCGCGAAATTGTAAAAAAATATTTCCCGAGAGCGAGACCGATCCGGACAGGTTGGCGCACGTTATCGCCGATGCGTGTGGCGGGCGCACGACAATCGTGCCGAAATATACGCGCGGGGCAAAATCCGAGGCCAATTACAAACACGCCGTCTCACCGGGCTGTCAGTCATCAATCCGTGGAATATTTTTCTCTGGGTCAATTGAACAATTCTACGCATCGTCGGACATCGAGCGGATGGGCGCGAGTGGGCTGGGTTTTAATGTATTTGCCGTTACCGGGGGCTTTCAACGGCTAACCGGTAAATCTTCTGACGAGCGATTAACTCGTTTCTCTCGGTACTCCTCAGCTATTAAATTACCATCGACGATACCGCCGGCAATAAAACTTGTTCGGGGTGATACTAAACCGAGCGAAAGGTTGCGGTTCGGCCCAAGGATTATACAATAATCTTTTAAATCACTTAAATGCCTCGTTTATTTATTCCCCATCAAATTATCGGCATTACTTTGAGCTTTATTATCGTTGTGTATTATAAAATTGATGGACATTGTCTTTAATGACGTTTCATTCTTTCCTGCTAGCTGCTTCGACGTGGTAAGATACTCATTTTTACGTCGGATAAATATTTTTCACAGTTGATGAAAAAATATACAAAAAAAAATAGACTTTCGTTAACAAGCAATTAAATCAAATGAAACGTAGGTACAAAACTTTCGTCAGCTAATAAATATCATTTTGAACTCTTAAAACTTTATTTGAAAAGTACGAAAGGTTATTTTGCACAATCTTGTCAAGAATTATTTTTCATCGGTGATACATAGCGGTAAATTTCATCTCGACTGGAAGCCGTAGGAGAAAGTTACAACTTACCAAGCTTTTTCCCCCGATTTTAAAGCCGTAGAAAAGATAAATTCGATCGTTTGAAAAAGTTTGCGAACAAATATCGAAAGTTCGAAGCGCACTTTGATTCCGGGCAAACCGTTTGGTAGCTGTATCTAGCCCAAGCAGAAAATTCAACTGGTGCCTGTTTACCTGTAGCTGCCGAGATTAGAGTTAGACGGTACTCGATGAGTCACTCATTTGCTCTCTCAGTTACGCGGAGGAAGTATTTCACAATACGATGAGATGAGTGACAGGAGTTCCTGCGCGAATTAATAGCGCGATAATTCGAGCTAGTTAACGTGTAGGAAACGCGGGAGGAAAATAGAAGAAACACTTGGGGAATGATTAACGAGCCGTCAGGGGAGTCTGATGTCTGTGTTGCGCCGAGGAACTAAAATTAGGTGAAAGAAGTCTTGCTCCACGATTTATCACGATGTAAATGTAATATTAATACAAGTAGTGATTTAATTAGTATTTTTTCGAGCATCAGTAAATTATAATCACTCTCAAGGTTCGCTTCAATTTCAGTTGATCATTCTGCATTTTTTTTTCTTAACCTCTCACAGAGCGAACTCGGGGATGAGGAGTTATTATCGCGCGCGGCTATAAAGAGTTAATCACCGCAATAACGTGGCGCGCGTTGTCGCGTGAGAAAATTTTTCGCTCCACGACGCCCAGGAGGCTCGAGAAAGCTCCCGGGGTGTCGGGACGATGAGAACGAGCTCCGAAAATCTAAAGGGCGTCGCCCTGTCCTTGTTTCTGTGTGCAGGGGTGATGGTGAAGCAGGAGGCGAGGGACGACGGTTACGAGACGAGTCCGGACCTCGAGATGAGGAGCACCGGCGGTGACAGCAGTCAGCAGTATCACACGCCGCTGACACCACACACACCGCACACACCGCACACGCCGCACACGCCCCTCACGCCGATATCGGCGACAGCGCATCAACCCCAGCAGCCGGGCTCGACCGCCTCCACCCTCGGACAGGTGAGTTTTTCATATTCGCCTACCCTGCCGCCCCTGACCAGCCCCGTTCCTCCTCCCTGCCTTCCTTCATCTCGTTCTTTTCCCTCGAGCTCTTTTACGTAGCGACCGATAACGAGCGAATCGTACAATTATCGCGATGTCTCAAAAATAATCAGAGATATCGGAAAGTATCTTGAGAAAAAGTGTATCTTTCATATCGCAAAATCGTAACGTTTGAAGTACTATAATTGAGACGTTTTGCGGCTGAATTACAACGTTGAAATGTCGGGAATAATGCTACGCTTGCAGAATATGTATATATTCATGTGATTGCTTGTAATTATACCGCGAAGTTGCATGTGATGGTCGTACGGCATATTCTCAATCGATCTTACGTCAGAACTTTGGATTATATGTAACATTTTATCTAATTTACACTAACATAACAAGCTGAAATTAACGCTCGTATATTTTCGATTATTACGTTGTGAATATATAAAAACTTTTAATCCTTGATATATATTATATATATATATATACATATATGTATATAATTGGAAACGATTAAATATGCTCTCTTTTGTAATAAAATAATGCTCGTGTAACGCATTAATAATAATATAAAATTTACTGTCCACCGATACGATTCTCTCGAAATTCTATAACGCGATAAAGTTCGCAATTTAAAATCTATAGATCAGAGACGATCATATTTATAAACAAGTAATAATTATCAGAAATTAGAAATAACGCGATCGAGGTCAATATGGAACTACGATAAGTCTT